AGTAGGTGCTCCAGACCACTGAGCCATCCCACCAGCCCCCTTTTTTTTTTTTTTTTTAAAGTCCTTAAGAGCTACACAGAACCAAGGAAACAGCCAGGCACATGCTTGTAATCCCAGCTACTCAGGAGCTGAGGCAGGAACATCACAAATTCAAGCCCAGCTTGGGCAATTTAGTGACTTATTGAGATCTTATCTCAAAGTAAAAAAATGAAAATAGCTAGTCATATAATTCTGTGTGAAGGTCTTGGAGTCAGTCACGGATACTGGGTGGGGAAAAAAAGAGAAAAGAATATCAGTCCTATGCGCTCAGTTGTCTCCCAAGTCTATTGGTGTTTCCTAAGAGCCTGCACATAGTGGATGTGGATGAATGAACAATAAAAGAAGGAAGGAAGGATTACAAAAGTGAAACAGCAAGTAAACAAAAGAAGAACTTGCCCCTAGGGGATGTTTTGGCAGTCTAACAGCAGAGAGGACCCTGAGGTCCGAGGCTTAGGCCACTGTGAGGCTCAGGCCTGAGGCCTGGATTGAGGCTGGGATCCTGACACAGGTCGCCCTTGAGAGTGGAAAAGGATCTGGACTAGGCCACAGCGCCCCCTGGTGGTCAGGACTCCTTCAACTCCAGAATAAGGCCTCTAAACTCCTGAAGGTTTCCAAAGACTTCCTCACAAACTGGTTGGAACATTACAGAAATAACCACGGAATAAAGAAGGTCAGATTGGGGGTGAAGAAGATGCCAGATTGGGTCTTAGTTCTGGCCATGACCCTGACTCTGTGGGTAATCTGCTGTGTATCATTGTGGTGGTGCATGTAATCCTAGTACTCAGAAGGCTGAGACAGGACTACTGTGAGTTCACAGCCAGCCTGGCCTGTACTGTGAGTTTAAGGCCTACTTGAACTACACAGAAAGACTCTGTCTCAAACCATCACCCCCGCAAAAAAAAAAAAAAAAAAAAAGGCCTAGACTTGGAAGTGCCACTGTGGAAAAGAGGGATTCTTCCTTCAGTCAGTCACCACCCAGATTGAGAGCTTCTTGATCTGGAAGTGATTTCATGAGAAATGCTTAAATCTGCATCAGCCTGGTGTGGTAATGCATGCTTGTAATCCCAGAACTTTGTAGGTTGAGGCAGAATGATCCAGGCGGATAATTACAAGTTCAAGACCAGCCTGCGCTGGCTACAATGTGAGCTCAAGACCAGCCTGAACTGCATAGCAAGACCATGTCTAAAAAGCAAACAAACAACAACAACAAAACAAAACTACATTCCCTTTGCTCCAATGTCCTCGGGTTTTGTCCTAGGTGGTCATATACACCTAGCATGAAACTCACCTTTTACAACCTCCTTTTACCCATTACATTTAGAAATGCCTTTTATTTATTTGTGTATTTATTTTTGAAATGTTGGAGATTAACCCAGAGCCTCATTCTTGTTTGGAAAGTACTGTACCACTGGACTACACCCCCAGCCCTGCAAATGCCTTTTTAAAAAAAATCTAGATTTTTTTTTTGAGATAGGATCTTGCTATATAGTTCAAATTGGTTTTCTTCTTTTTTTTTCAGTACCAGATATCAAATTCCAGACTTTGTGCATGCCAGTCAGACACTTATGCCACTGAGCTGTCTCCCCAGCCGTCAGATCAGTTTTGAACACCCTTTGTAGCCCAGTCTGGACTCTAATTTATGACAATCCTCTTTCCTCAGCCTCCCAAATTCTGGGATTATAGGCATACTATACCAGCTCTTCAATTGGATTTTAAATCTGAAGCTCAGGAAAGAGATCTGCATTGTAGGTATACCTTTGGGAGTTATTAGCATTCAGAAGACCTATGAAATCCGGATACAGGATTGGCTTGATGTAATTCATAATTCTCAATCTGATATGCATACTACAATCATCCAGAAAGGGAAAAACCAAACACTGATGCCCCAGCTCCACACAGCCAGACTAAAGAAATCAGAGTCCCCAAGTATGGCCTACACATGAGCACTTCTTGAGGGCTTCTGGATGGTTCCACATATAGCCAGGTGTGAGCTACACTATATCTAAGACTAGAACAAGGAGAAGAACGCTAACAGAGAAGACAGCAAGTGAGGGGTGCCTCCACAGACAGCATTTACCTACAAGGTGTCCTATGTTCAATCCCCATGACAGGGTGGGGGGAAGAGGCTGTGAAGGAAAAAGACTATTGGTGGGAACATAGGAGAAAAACCCAGTGAAGACCAGGTGCCTCAAGGCGGTATCGAATGCTGCCAAGAAGCCCAGGGAGTGGAGGGTCATTTTGCTTGGTGAAGCAAGTTGGTTGGTGGAAGAATCATGTAATGGAGTGGTGGGGAACAGGGGAGCACTAGAGTTAGTTAAAAGGAAAATGGGAGGTGAAAAAGTGGAAACGAAAGTAATCAACAACTCTCAAAAGTTTCCTGGTGAATCAGAACAGACAAAGGAGGCAGCTGAAGTGAAAGGAAAGCATGTAGCATTGTGCCTGGCAGATTTCCTTGAAGGTGTGAAATCATCGAGCTTAATTTGTGTGTTGGGAAATGATGGTGATAATAGCATGCATGGGTCAGAAGAGGAAGGGGACATCTGGGTTGGCCAGGCTTTGAGGAGTGAGAAGAGCTGGGGTCAGAGTTCGCATCCGGGACAGACACTTCTTTCACAAGATGGGAGTGAATGCTGGCACCTTGGTGATAGTGATGGCAGATTAAAGGAGGAGTCATTTCTCTTGGCTGCTTTTTAGCTACTTCATCTGTGAAGTGACTGTGGGTAGGGACAGAGAAGAGAGTGTGCAAAGGTCTTCGGGGAGAAAAGCTGTGGATACAGGATCTGTGGGCAGTGTGGAGAGCCTGCTCATCTAAAGTTTGCGATCTTGGTGTGCAAGAGGACACAGGCAGCCTGCTGGTGTGAACTCTGTCTGTGGGCAGGTGTCATGACAGGCATGGAGGAGAGCTGGCTTCGCCTGGGGCTGAGGGCTTTGCCAGTCAAATGAAGTGAGAATGAAACAGGAGACTGAAGAGGAACTCTGTGAAGGGAGCACAAAACCAAAATGGGACAAGGATGAAAGGTGGACAGTGAGGAAAAGATAAAGGTAGGTCCTTACAGCTGGAGAGGAAAGACTGGCTATCCCGGAGGAAGTAAGCTAGGAGGAGAGGAAGTGGTTAGAGGAGGATGTGGGTGAATACAATCTGTGAGTCACTGTCATAAAGACAAGATTCAGGGTAGGCTAAGGGTGTGGCAGCTGAAGCACAATTGAAGTCAGGTGACCAAGAGGGTCAAGCTTATTGTTCTCATGGACTGGCCCCAAGGATGGTGACAAGAGTAGCAGAGAAGAGGTAAAAGCAGGCAGTAAGTTTTCAAGAAGTTTGGTTATGGGCTGGAGATATGGCTCAGTGGTCTAAGGCACCTACTTGAAACAAGCTTGGCAAAGCACAGGGGCCGCGGTTCGATCCCCCAGCACCACATGCCAGCCAGCCCTGCCCCCTGGTGGGCTGAGCTGGCCACACACACACACACAATAAATAAATGTAATAAATAAAAAAAAAAAAAAAATTTAAAAAAAAAAAAAAAGAAGTTTGGTTATGTCTCCCTAGAAGGTCTGCTCCTTGAGAACAGGAGTGAGGCTCTCTTGAATATAGCTGTGTTCTCAAGAACCTGGCATAGGACTGGTACCAATTTTTTTTTTTTGAGACAGGGTCTCACTATGTGGTTTGGGCTAGCCTTGTGCTCACTTTCTGTAGCCCCCAGGCTGGTCTCAAACTCGAAGAGATACTCCTGGGCCAAACTCCCGAGTGCTGGGATTACAGGTGTGTGCCACCATGTCTGGTTCCGGGGCTGCATGGTGAGTGCCCACATCTGGGACAGAGATGGTGCCTGGCACCATTTGCCTGGGGATCCCAGCCCAAGACCAAATGGCATGTGGCGCTGGGGATGGAACTCTGGTCCTTGTGCTTGCCAGGTAGGTGCTTATGCCTCAGAGCTATCTCTCTGGCCCCCCAATAAAACTCTAATGGTGAAATATACCTAGTTATATAATTTGAATTTTTTTCACTGCTAGGCATCAAACTTAAGGTCTTTGTTGCACACCTGTAATCACAGTACTTGGGAGGCTGAGGCAGGAGGATTGCTGTGAGTTTGAGGCCAGCCTAGGCTACAAAGTGAGTTGAAGTTCAGTCTGAACTGCACAGAAAAATCCTGTCTCAAAACACACACACACACACAAACACACACACACTCACACCCAAAAATAACACTGGGAATGGTTGTGCACACCTGCAATCCCACCACTGGGGAGGCTGAGGTAGGAGAATTGTTGCGATTTCTGAGACCAGCTGGGCTACAAAATGAGCTCAAAGCCAGTCTGAACTGCATAATGAGACCCTGTCTCAAAAAGACAAAAAACAAAACAAAACAAAAACCTCAGGTCTTGTACATGCTAGGCATGTGTTTTACCATTGCACTGAGCTACACTCTTAGTCTTTTTTTTTTTTGCAGAACTAGGGACTGAACTCAGGTCCTTGCACGTATCAGGCAAGCGCTTATTCTACTGAGCCATCTCCCCAGCCACTACACTCTTAGTCTTGTGTAATTTGGTATTTGTCCTTTGCAGTTGAAAAAAAAGAGGTTTGAGGTTCCTCAGAAGTTTCTGTAAATTGCTTGGCATCTTTGAAATTCATTCCATCTTCTCCTTACCATCCACCAGCATTCCCCTCACCTCTATTACATTCTCCCAGCTTAGATGTTTTGGTCTCTAGTCTTTTTTATTTTATTTTATTTTTTTAAGGTATTAGAGATTGAGGGCCAGGGATATAGTTCAGTAGCATAAATGCCTGCCTGGCAAGTGTAAGGTCCCAAAGTCAATCCCCAGTACCACAAGGGGTGGGGGGTGGGAAACAGCTGTGCAGTTAAGGCTGGCCTTGAACTCACTATGTAGCTCAGGCTGGCCTCAAACTTGGGGCAATCATCCTGGCTCTGTCTCCTGAGTTCTGGGATTACAGGTGTGCACTATCCCACTGAGCCATCTCCCCAGACCAAAGACAATTTTTTTTTTTTTTTGACACAACCAGGGATTGAACTCAGGCCCTTGCATTTTCCAGGGAAGCTCTTATTCCACTGAGCCATCTCCCCAGCCCAAAGACAGTTCATGGGTTTAAGTTCAGAAAGAGTTTGTTTGTATGCTTTTCTTTCTTTCTTTCTTTCTTTCTTTCTTTCTTTCTTTCTTTCTTTCTTTCTTTCTTTCTTTCTTTCTTTGGCAGAACTGGGGATTGAACTCAGGTCCTTGCGCTTGCCAGGCAAGCACTTATTCTACTGAGCCATCTCCCCAGCTGCTAGGTGTGCACTATCACTATCATTTAGGCTGGTTTTGAACTTGCTGTGTAGCCCAGATTGGCCTTGAATTTGTGTCGATCCTCTTTTGACAGCCTCCTGAATGCTCAGATTACAGGCAGGCTCTACCAGCTCCCAGCCCTTTATTAAACATTTTGTTTTTTTAGATTTTGAGACAGTCTTACTAAATTGCCCAAGTGAGATGAATTTGTTAGCCTTCTGCCTCAGCCTTCCCTAGTGCTGGCATTACAGGTGTGTGCTACCACACCCAGCTCGGTCTCTAGTTTTGCTTCCTCCAGTTGTTCCTCCCCAACTCTGACCATGTCTTTCCCCTGAGGATGAGCTCAAGCTCACCTCTGGCACTATGCCATCATCATCTTCTGGCCTACATGTGCCCATCCTCAGCCTGAGTTCAGTGCCCACTTGTTGGGTTTCTGTCTGCCTTTAACTCAGTGTGGAGGGCACCTCTCCTGGCAACAAGGTGCTTGTCTCCCTCTGCCTGATTATTTGTGTCACTTCTGCTGCCCAGAGCTACACAAAGCAAATTTATCTGCATCTCATCAGTCCGCCCAAGTGCAGTTAAGCTCCCTGGTAACCAAAGTCAGACCCGGGTCATCTGAGCTCCTAGCATTCAGGCCAGCTCCACATAGTACTGGTGTTTCTTGCATAGATGCCACTTCTAGGAGCTGGATTGAGGGCTATGGATGGTGGGCCACAGGCAGAACTCAGAGATGGCTGGAAGGCTTTATTATTGGCAAATCTGTACACTGTACATTGGAGGGTGGGCAGGGCAGGGTGAGTCCTTCCCAAGCTGTTTGCTTTGTCCCTGCAGGCCAGAGAGAACTGGGGTGTGTTTGTGGATGCCTATCCCCTATTGTAGGGAAAGTACCTCTGTCCCTGCTGCTACTGCATAGGCCTTCAAGGCCGGTCACAGGGTGCAGGAGCCTTCCTCCGCTCACGACTCAGAAGTGTAACAAGCTTGGCCTTGAAGCCTGCCTGTGGGCCTGAGCGGCTAGTGCTGCCAGCCTCATCCAGCTCCAGTTCTAGCAGCCGCCTGTATTGGGCCTCCAGATTGCTGTCCTGAGCTGGGACAGGCCAGCTCAGGTCCTCACTGCTGTGGTAGATGGGGCTGACCAATGGGCTGCAGCCACCAGAAGAGCCTTCTTGGGGCTTGGAGCCCCCATTGGGTAGCCCTGAGCTGGACTCCAGCATGCACAGGTTCTCATAGAGGTGTTCTGCGGTGGCTGGGGGCCCACTGGCCCACTTGCGCACTGAGGCATAGACCACAGATGCTGGCTCTTCCGGTGTGGGGTCCAGCAGGAGGGGAAGGCTCTGGGGCCCAGGCTCAGTCACATAAGTGCTCCGGGAGGTGGGAACCTTGGGTCCTGGACGCCCCTCCCGAAGCTCTCCAGGGGGTTCCAGTGAAGGCATGGAAGTGGCTCGAGGCAGGGGGCAAGGTCTTGGAGCTGCTAGCTCAGGCAGCCGTTCCCGTTGGCGAGCAATGGCAGCAGCCACTGTACCACATATGTCAGGGGCACGTGAGCTGCTGAAGGCAAAGAGGCCTTCACCGGAGTCACAGCGGCGGCCAGCCTCAAAGGAGAACACGCCCTGGACACAGTGACACAGGTGGGGTATCAATGTCTGAGGGGCCAGGACACCACCTCCCAGGGCCCTTCCCTGCAAGGCCATGCTGGAGTAAGGCAGCTACTCCCACCTCACCTTGTCAGAGCCAAACTTTCGTAGGAAGTGGTAGGGCCAGCTGTAGAGGGCCTGGGGGCTGGAAGTCTCTCTCAAATGGATGGCATCCTGGCCAAGCACAAGGAGGTAGGGACCTTTTAGCTGGCAGCGGCTGGCAGCTTCAGTCTTCTGCACTATCACAGGAAACTCGCTTACTGCAGGCAAGCAGGGAGGCATCAGTCTCCCAGAGATGTCAGCCCTAGAGGTAGTAAGGCTGAGGCCGTTCCCAGGCCTCCCATGGACTCACCTTCTTGCCAGCAGGAGTAGATGGCATTTTCCTCCATGGGGACGAGGCCCTTCTTGGGACACTCAGCCTCCCTTGGTCCCAAGGAGCAATCCCCTGTGCCCTGGGGATTGGGCTCAAGTCAGAGGTTAGGGTCACCCGGCTCCTCTCCCATTACCTCCCATGGAGAAGGTAACTCAGAACTGCAATGGCAAGCCAGGACACTCAGGGGCCCAGGGCCAATCCCAGTTCTACCCCTAACATGTGTACGACTCCAGGCACCCATATGAGACTGTCTCCCCAGCTTCATAAGGAGCAGGGAGTCCCACCGGGCTCTCCCTTGGCCCCAGAAGGGGGGCTCTGCTTTAGGTGTCTAAAGATGTAACCTACCAGGCACCCAGAAGGATGTCCCCTGAGTGCACTGGGGACTAGGCTGAGTCTTGTGATTCTCTGACAGCTTGGAGCAGGGAAGAGGCAGGGGCCTTAGGAGAAGTACATAGAGGTGAACTGGCCAGAGAGCAATGTCCAGGCTTCTTTCCCCACCCCTCAAAACCACTGTGACCTTCCCTGCCCCTCATTCCACCTCTGGTCATTTAGCAAGCTGGTCCTTACTTTCCCTTGCACACTCAACGCCTCTACCTTGGCCCATGGAGTACAGCTAGGGTGAATGCAACTGCTCTCTCACTGTTTTCGTTAATCCTATTCATTTTATTTTTTATTTAAAATGTTTAAAATGTGATGCAATATACAGAAACATAAAATCTATCCTTTCTATCTGTTTGTTTGGGATTGAACATGGGACCGTATGCATGCTAGGCAAGCACTCTACCTTTCATGCTCCCTTTTAATATTTTGAGACAGGGTCTTACTAAGTCACCCAGCTGAGTCTTGAATTCATGATTCTTTTGTTTTTGTCTTGTGAATATTTGGGATTACAAGCATGAATCACCAAGCTCCACTTTTTTCCTTTTGATTTTTTCAGACAGGGTTGTCTTGCTATATAGTTCAGACTGGCCCTGAACTCACTATGTAGCCCAGGCTGGCTTCAAACTCAGCCTCCCAAATGCTGGGATTACAGGCATGTGCCACCATGCCTAGCTCAAAACTTTTAAAGCATAGAACTCAGCAGTTTCTGGTATTGTTACTTGATTGTGCAGCCATTAGCACTATCTACTTCCAGAACTTTTTCATCATCCCAAGTAGAAATCCTGCACCGACTAGTGGTCATTTCGTATTTTCACCTCCTTGAAGTCTCTGGTAACTAATCTGCTGTCACTCTAGATTTGCGTAATCTGGACATTCCCTATACACGGAATCATACATTTTATGGCTTCTTGTGTCTGGCTTTTCACTTGACATAATGTATTGAAGGTTCATGCTGGGGATGGTGGTGTACACCTATAATCCCAGCACTTTGGGAGGCTGAGACAGAAGGATTGAAAATTTGAGCCTAGCCAAGGTAACTTCAATTTAGGGAGTGAGATCCTGTCTCAAAAATAACAACAAAGGTCCATCCATGTTGTAGTATATGCCAATACTTCATTCCTTCTGATGGCCTAATAATCTTTTGTTGGATGAGTAGGCATTCATTAGGAGATGGCTATTTGGGTTGGTTCTGCCTCTTGACAACTGTGAATACTGCTGCCATGCACACTCATGTACAAGCTTTGTGTGAACACCTGCTTGAATTCTCTTGGGCATACACTGAGCAGTTGAATTGCTGGGTCATATGGTAATGCTATGATTAACTTTTTGAGGAACCACTAGACTTGTTTCATTTTGGCCTATCACAGACCATATGATCTGTTATGGCCATTGGCATCTGGCTTAAACCTTCTGAAATCCCCTCTGACTCAGAATAAAATCCCAAACCCGCACGTGGCCCAAGGAGATTTCAGTTGACTCTCACTCAATTCTCCAACTTTACTGCCTCCTGTGCTATGGAAGCGCCTTTCCCTTTGGCCATGCTGGCCTTCTTTCTGCCCCTTGAACATACCATACTTTTGCCTGCTGCAGGGCCTTTGTTCTCTGTGCACAATTCTCAGACCTTACATCTGGGATGTACTTTCCTCAGACCTTTGTCTGGTGGGCCTCTCTCTCTACCCAGTACTGGAAATTCAAACCACAGCCTTTGTTTGCACTGAGCTACATCTCTACCCAAACTTCTTCAGTTTTTTTTTTTTGTAAGATAGGGTCTTTGTTGCTAAACCACTAAGTTACCCAGGTTGGGCTCAAACTTGGGATCCTCCTACCTCAGCCTCTCAGAGTGCTGGGATTGTAGGTGTGAACCACCATGCCCAGGTTGTGGGCTCTTTAGCACTAAGGCCCACTGTCCTGTCAGAAAAGCTTTATTTGGCCCTTCTCCTAATGTTCCCCCATTTTGCTTTCATTGTAGCATGCTCGTCCATCTGAGATTCACTCTGAGGGTTCCTGGGCCATTTCCCAGCCTTGTAGTTGTGTGGCAATGCTTACATAGTGACAGGATATGAGTGAGCAAGATGAACAAGTGTGAGCTGGGGTGGTTCCTCCAGGCCCCGCCCACCCTGCACTCACCGGGAAGGCCAGCTGGCAGATGGGATCCATCCAGGACTGGCGATGCTGTGCAGCCAACAGGTGGCTGCGCTCGGTAGTGGTGAGCAGGAAGGCACCAGTGTCCCGAGGGCAACTCTCACCATCAGCTGGCAGCACAGACACACAATCTGCTAGGCGGATAACCCGCCGTTCTCCCCGACGACTGGGCCCCGCTGATCTGTCACCTGCTGGCCCCAGGCCTCCATCCCGGACATCCCAGCTTTCCAACCGTGCCACACCTGCTGGGCCTCCTGCATACAGCAGAGCCCAAACTTTCCGCCAGGACTTCTGCAGAAAAGGGTAGGAAAGGAAACCCTTGGGTGGCAGATGCTCCTGCCACTCAGCTTGGTGCAAGCTTAACAACTGTTCCTCACCTCTCTGAGGGGCCTCTGCCTCCCCCCAAGTCCTCAGGGTACCAAGGAAGGAGGCCTTGCCAGAGATGGGCCATGTAGAGGTTTGAGTCTGATTGGAGTCAGTCAGCTCTGGGTTCATATCCCATCTACCATTTCCCTTTTTCCCCTTTTCTAAGTGACCTCCATGGCACCTGTGTCCTTGACTCTCAGAAGGTTCTAAGACATGAAGGTAAGGCTTCTTTCTACTGGATCATGTCTCTAAGTAGCTAATGGTTGGGGCAGATCACTAGATATTACTGTTATGTTGGCTTCTACTCCCACCCCTCAAGAAACACAGTTGGGCCATGGCTGGGTGGGAAGCAGGCCACAGACTTATTATGGCAAGGAAGGAAACATGCAAATAAGTTCTAGCAATGGTAACAGTCCGTTGATCTGCCTGGGCAGCAGCTGCAGCCGAGCTGTGGGGTGCAGGGCCTGCTGCCAGAGAAGCAACCTCCCCACTTTTCCTCCCTTGTCTGCAGGGTATAGCTCTTCCAGTTCAGCCCCTGGCCCTTTTTTAGGGCCTCAGCGCCACTATTAGAACCCATCTAAGGCTGTTCAGCTCTGACCTGCTTGGAGGTCTTGATTCTCAGACCCTTTCCTTATTTCACCTTCCTCTTCTTTAAATGAGGCAGCCTTTCCTACAAAGGCCTGTTCAGCCCCAACCCTTTCAAACCAAGAAGAAGGTTCTGTTTGTTCCCAAATCCCTGGGTTCTATTGCCCATCCCAGGCTCCTATCCAGTTCCACCAAGTCTAGGTCCTTTCTGAGGTTAGGGTGGCTGCCTGACAGCCAGGGGTCCCCACCTTGCCAAACTTGACATGTTGCTGGTAGAGGATGCCATCCTTGATCGGGGTCTCTGCAGACTCCATAGCCATTGCCAGTCAGAGGCTCACTGTCGTGAAGACCTGAAGAGACTGGTAACAGGCTGGACGGGAACTCCTCACACTTCCTCTTCTGGCCACTTCCCCTCCCTCTGTCCAGAGGCAGCTCCTGGGCCAGGGGGAGGGGTGCCCAATCTTCAGTTAAGGGAGGGGTAGCACATTCTTCCTGGGGATTCTTGTTGGCCCAGGGTGCCTATACCTGCTTGGTCGGAGCCTCAGGCCTCCTGAGGGCAAGTGACCTCTGTGCCGGCACCTGGGTCAGCTGAATATGAGCATCTGACCACAGGCTGGCTGTCCTGAGTCATGAGCTCCAACCCTTCCCCCACCCCAGGCAGCTGTGCCCCCTGGGACCTGACACTTAGTAGCCTTGCTCTCATCCTAGGGCCCTCTCAGACTGGCAAATACCTGGCTCTCACCCAGTTCTGTTTTGTCACCAGCTCTGCCTGACAGTGTCTACCTGATCTCTGATTCTACCTAAAATGGTTCTAATGTTCACTTGCTCCTCTTCTTTGTAGCTTCTGCTCCACCTGGACTGATCTGGCTCTTTCTACTAATCCCAAACTAGCCCTCTCTCTTTCCTTGGGTCTAAACTGGGCTCTTGAACCCAGCATTTGGGTCTTTGTTCTGGCCTCCACCTCCTTGAGCCTCATTCTGCACAGACCAGCCCCTCCAGCACACCTCTTACCTCTGTGCTGCTTAGGAACATAGGTACCTCTTCCTCCAGGAGGTTGTCCCTGAGCATCCACACTTCCTGAGATCACAGTGGCCTTCACAACATACCTGAGGCCAGGCAGCCAGTCCACTTGAGATCCAAACCCCTGAATGGCTCTGGCCACATGAGTGTGGGTGGCAGGTCCCCAGTGGACTCCCCAAAGAGGTCACATGCTTTTAAAGCTGCTTCCTGTCACCTGTTTTTTTTTTTTAAGCCTTGCTGGAGGCTGGTGTTACAGTAGTGTCTGAATCTGCATTCAGTCTCCTATTTTCATTCAATACCACCTTTGGAGAAGAATGTGTAATCAGGCTAATGAATGCCATTTTAGAGTCACATATTTGGCCAGGAAGTATCCTTTCATTTTTGTTTTTTAAAAAAATGTATTTTGTACAGGGTCTCACTATGCAGCTTGGACTTGTAGTGATCTTGTTTTCAGCCTCCCCAGCACTGGGATTACAGGCATGTGCCACCATGCCCAGTCTCAGTGGCCTGCTCAGCTCACCTGGGGGCAGGGCCCACACGAGGTGCCAGGGATCGAACCTTGGTCCCCGTGCTTGCCTAAGCAGGCACTTAGTCCAATGAGCTATCCTGCTGGCCGTTTTTGCAGAACGGGGGATTGAACTCAGGCCCTTGCTCTTGCCCGGGAAGCGCTTATCCCTCTGAGCCACCTCCCCAGCCCTGTTTTTGTCTTTTGAGACAGGGTCTTGCTTTGTAGTTCAGGCTGGCCTTGAACACACCATACAGTATAGCTCTGGTTGGCTATATAGCAATCCTGCCTCAGCCTCTCAAGTGCTGGGATTACAGGCATTTGCTCCCCACCTCAAGTCAAGAAATGTCTTCTAACAGCCTTTGGTACCTAGCTCTGTGGTTCTTGCAGCCCAAACAACTCCAATGGTCCGAGACACCATGTCCTCTGCTTTTTCACTGTCATTTCAACAAAAAGGAAATCATGACTCAGAAACATTAAGTAACTGAGGCCACACACCAAGTGACAAATGTGACTTGAGTAACTGCCATTCTGCTGGATTAGCATGTGGCCTTACACATGAAGGTCCTAGCACAGACCTCCACACAGTCACTGCTGTGCTGTGCTTCTACTCCTCACAGATGCTCAGGTCCTGGTAGGTGTGCCCATGTTTCCTCCCATTTGAGTCTGACACTTACCCGTGGGCTTTCTAGGCAGGTCTCTGCCTGGCTTGTCTGAATCTTTACAACCCAGCAAAAAACCAGAAAAGATCAGGTCAGTGGGCATGTGGCCGGAATGGGACTGCTGTTGCATTTGCCACCTCCTCAGTGAGTGAAACCGAGAGTCTGAGAGGAAGCCTGTACATGCCGATAGCGAGCAGGGACCTGAAGCACGAAAGAGCCTCCAAAGAGACTCAAGGAAAAGCCCTCTGAGCATCACACAACCATCAGGAAGAGCAAAGCTAGGGGTGATGACAGCCATTCAAGAGGAGAGAGACATGCAACCATTTCTCCTCAGCATCCTACTGTGGGTCCTACTTGAGCCATAAATAGCAGCAACATTCAGGAAATGCTCTAAGCCCCCAGTGTGGGGTGTGGCCAAGTGGCTCTGTTCAGGGCCAAGTACCTGCAGGCTAGGTACTGGCAACAGCACTGGGAGAGGCTGACACCTTGGCTCGGAAGATGCTGCAAGGGTGTGAGGTCTGCCCAAGGGCCAGGGCACAGATGAGCGAGACACAGAGGCAAGGCTGGGGCTGAGACAAAGGGTCTGTGCTTTAATGGCAACTAGGGGGTCAGGGATGCACAAAAATAGTAATTCTGGGGAGCACAATGAGTGGCCCAGGCCAGCTGGGCTGAGAATGCTGGTTTCTTGTCCAGGGAGAAACAGATGACTCAGAAGTCCATAGAGCTGTGGGCCAGGTAGTCCTTGCGGCCAATGTTGCTGACCTGCTTGGTCTGCATGGCCTCAAGTTTGGGACAGTCAGTGATCCGATGGCCAAGGCCCCCACAGAAGGCACAGCCACGCTCTCCTGAAGGGATGGAGGTAGGGTCAGCAAGATCACAGATCCAGGAACTGGGCTCTGGAATGCGGGCTCCCCCAAGTAGGTCTGCCCAGTTCACCACTGTCTAGTATGGACTTGTTTTGTGGTATCCCCATCTGCCTGTCTCCATGGCTGCCCCCACCACGAGCCCATCACCAGAGAGGACTTAGCCTCCTGCTTGGCACTAACCTCCAATGTCCAGCATGGACTCGTCCCCACAGTGCAGTACTTGCAGCACTGGTGGCACCTTCTGTTTTGCCTCTAAAAGGAGGGCCTTGAGGTCCATCAGTACTGACTCATCTGAAAGGGGAAGGGGAGAACACAGAACCATCAGGCCCCACTCGGGGTCCTATGGTCCAAATGTAGTGGTGATAGGTAGAGGACCTGGGGAACAGCTGAGGTAGCTCTAGTGAAAGACTCACCACAAGCCTTGTTGATGAAGGTGGTGGCAATGCCAGTGTTTCCTGAGCGCCCTGTACGGCCGATCCGGTGCACTGCGGAGAGGGTTACAGCCTCTGGCCCGCTGTCCAGGGGATGGGAACCAATTTGATCCCTCTCCTTTCTAACCCACACCCTTAACTCTCCCAAGCTCCCTACCATAATTCTCAATTTCCTCAGGCATGTCATAATTGATGACATGCTGGATGGCAGGGAAGTCCAGGCCTTTAGAGGCAACGTCTGTGGCCACTAGGACATCTTTTTTGCCTTCCCGAAATGCTTCAATGGCCTTGGTCCGTTCCTCCTGGTCTAAAAAGGGTCAAGTAGGAGATATTACAGCTATAGCAGGAATTTTAAGGTTAGAGGCAAGATGGGCAGGCAAGACGGGTTAGCTAAGAGGCTGCCATGACAAAAGGGTCCATGCAGTGCCCTGACCTTTGCCTCCATGGATGGCCACAGCCTCGACCCCTTTGAGCAGCAGGTATTCATGGATGGCATCTACATCTGCCTTCTTCTCCGCAAAGATGAGTACCTGTTCAGGAAGGCTGATTCCAGTCACAGGGCATTACCTCGACAATGTGCAACAACAGTCCCCACCACCTTCTCCCCTACCCTGGGACCATGGCCCCAGCCTGGACTGGCTGAACTCACTGGTGGAGGTGTCTTCTGTAGGCACTCGAGCAGGTACACCATCTTAGCTTCTTCCTTCACATATTCCACCTCCTGCCACCAAAGAGGCCAGGTCAAATGATCCCAAAATTAGGCTCACAAGCCATAGCCCTAAAGAGGTTGGACCAGGAGCCTCTTGATACCAAGGACTGGATACACTAAGAATGGCCCTGGCTTAAGGCCAGAAGGTTTTAGGAAAACTCCCAGGACTCACAGGGTGAAGCCCTTGTTCCAGATCAGCTTCAAGAGTGTCTAGCAGATGAGAGAGTATTGACTTACCTGTATGACATCCAGGCTGGCAGCCCCAGCACGTCCCACATTGATAGTGACCGGCTTTACCAGGGCACTCTTGGCAAAGTTCTGAATCTTCTTTGGCATGGTGGCACTAAACAGTAGAGTCTGTCGCTGGCCCTGAGGAAGGACAGGAGTTGGGGCCCAGGGCACACAGAGCTGGGGCAAAGGTAGGAGATCGGTCTGGGAACACTGAATAGCTGGGTTGCAGCCCCCCAAGAAGTAGGAGCAGAGGGTGAGACAGCACAGGGGCCCAAGGCCCTCCATAGTGAACATGATATACATGGGCAGGGGAGCAATAAGAGGGTACCTTAAAGTAGGAGAAGATGGTACGGATGTCGCCCTCAAAGCCCATGTCGATCATGCGGTCAGCTTCATCCAAGGCCAGGTAGCGACAGATGTCAAGGCTGACCATCTTCTTTTGTAGCAAATCCATGAGGCGCCCAGGGGTGGCCACCATCATGTGCACACCACTGAGGGCCAAAAAGAGACCCTGAGGTTGGGGCCACCTGCCAATTACCTACTGGGAAGCCATATCCTGCCAGTGTTCTGTTCTGTGGACCTCCTTCCTATTTCTGCTCCCATCTTTTCCTTGCTACCCCCCTTCTCCTGCCCTAAGTATACACTTATGCCCTGGAAGAACGAGATGCAGCCTTCCAGACAGCACTTGGCCTGACCCACATTCCTTCTCCTCCTGGGTCACTCCAGGAGAACTATTCTGACCCTCTGCAGAGGCCTCACTGTGGGCTCTCACAGTCCACACTGCTCCCTACTTTTTTTTTTTTTTTTTTTTAGAAATGGTCTTACTACATACTTCAGGCTAGTCTCAATCTCACTATGTCCTGAAACTGAAGATCTTCCTGCCTTGGCCTCCAGAGTACTGTGATTAAGGGTGTACACCCTGTGCCTGGCCCCACAGTCTCTTTGTAGCCTTC